TTTCACTGCATATGTTTTACACATCCGCTGCGTAAAACATATGCTGGATAAGCTGGGGGTTCATTCTGCTGTGGCGACCCCAGATTAATAAAAGGACTAAGCCGAAAAGAAAATGAATGAAATACAGATAAACTGAAAATTGCTGTAGTAAAATCATGTCATGTTCAAAATGCATGATAGTTTTTGTTGAAAATATAAACAATTATCTCCATTACAAAACATCTGTCAACATCGGAGTGTGGAAATAAGAGATACACACCCCAATCTCTCATTTAGATTTTTTTGTTTGATTACATACAACAGAGATGTCACTTTAATACTGCACAGATCCATAATGAAAGCATTTGGTTGCTTTCCTAACCATGTATGCTCCTTTAAGACAAAATTTGTTGTGTTTAAAAGAAAACCCAAAAGATTGACATATTTAGATATTATTATCATTATTATTATTATTATTATTATTATTATTATTATTATTATTATTATTATTATGTCTATAAGTCTGTTCAAACACACACCCAAAACCCAGAGTGTCCACAATCGCTCAACTTCAAATTGTATGTACAGAATTCATTGGGAAACAGTTTCTGATTATCACTTTGGAATGCGCCTGACAGTCACGCACCGCTAAATGAACTGACTGTTTTGAGGATTATAGGAAGGGCGATGGCGCCTGTAATGAAAAGGAAGGGAATCCCACTGTTTTCATATTTATTTCAAAGTGTTTTCATGCCTAAATAAAACGAAAGCAAGGAACAGATTCATATTTAAGAGAAAGGGGCAGCTCCTGGTGGTTCGGGGGTATGGGTTGTGTATAATGAGGATCGGGTCCTTAATGTTTATTGCCATCCTTCATAGAAAGATTAAAAGTACAGGAGAAACATGAGAAAATTTACATTTACAGGATGATAGAAGGGATACAATTGTAAAATACAGGAGAATCCCAGGAAAAACAGGAGGGTTGACAGGTATGTAAAAAAATAAATAAATAAATAAATAAATAATATATATATATATATATATAATAAAAGAATATAAATTAAATTTAAAAAATAATATAATAAAAAGAAGTGGTGTGCATTAAGTCAAAAACAGCTGGGAAACGTCACTCTAAAAGACTGCGTACACACTAATTGGTGTAAGCTGTGTCACAGTGAATGTGCTGAATCCCAGCTGCTTTAACAGCCTGTGGAATAACAGCACACGATGAGAGGTGATGCCATTGAGCTGCTGATTTTACAGGCCGTTTTGCAAAATCGCAGTATTAAACTCACTTAATGAAATGAAAGAGCTTTTATGGCAGTGTTAAAAAGACAGGCAGCATGGATTCACAATTCAGATAATATGAGCGGGTAATAAGTGATCATTAAGGGTTAATGAGGCTGTATTTATGGGGTGATACAGCCTGAAATAGTGTTCAAGGGGCCAGCTCATTGAACATTTGAAGGAAAAAAAGGCTTTCTTGCTCATTTGAAATAAAGTATCAGATGTAAAAAGAGCTCTGCATATCTAGCCGAGGTTACACACCTGTATTGTTTATGCTGCAACTCATTTAAGAAGAGAAAGGTTTAACATAGCAGAAGTCATTCATGTAAAATAATGTAAACGTAGATGTGATTTTAAAGGTAGAATCATCCAAAAGGGAAAAAAAGGCATGGAACCTTTGAAAGACAAACTTTATAAACTAGATATACTGTGGATAGATTGACATGTATTGCATGTACATAAAATGGTAATACAGTAGAACACTATAACAGCCAATAGAATGAACGAATGGATAGAACAGTGCACTAAAAATGGATGGATGGATGGATATATAGATGGATTTATAGATAGATAGATAGATAGATAGATAGATAGATAGATAGATAGATAGATAGATAGATAGATAGATAGATAGATAGATAGATAGATAGATAGATAGATAGATAGATAGATAGATAGATAGATAGATAGATAGATAGATAGATAGAGAGATAGACAGACAGACAGACGGACGGACGGACGGACGGACGGACGATTATATAGATGGATAGATGAATATATAAATGGATAGATAGATAGATGGACGGCCGGGCGGACAGATGGATATATAGATGGATAGATGAATATATAGATGGATAGATGGATAGATAGATAGATAGATAGATAGATAGATAGATAGATAGATAGATAGATAGATAGATAGATAGATAGATAGATAGATAGATAGATAGATAGACGGATGGATGGATATATAGATAGATAGATGGATAGATAGACGGACGGACGGACGGACGGACGGACGGACGGACGGACGGACGGACGGACGGACGGACAGACGGACAGACAGACAGACGGACGGACAGACAGACAGACAGACAGACAGACAGACAGACAGACAGACAGACAGACAGACAGACAGACAGACAGACAGACAGACAGACAGACAGACAGACAGACAGACAGACAGACAGATAGATAGATAGATAGATAGATAGATAGATAGATAGATAGATAGATAGATAGATAGATAGATAGATAGATAGATAGATAGATAGATAGATAGATGCAGTGGTATAATAATATACTCTCAGAAAGTGTAAGTTCTTGTGTTGTTGGTGAACGTGTCTCCAGTGCTCTTCCACACACTCTCACACACTCATAGCCCACAATCCAGCTACTCAGAGTCTAAGCTCTTATGGCTGAGTTCCCGGGCACAGATTAAGCTGAAAGACAGACTAAAAACAGCATTTAAAGAACAATCAGCTCTGACAGAATGATCTGCTCCAGCACTCAGACTAACGAGGGTCTGAAACACTCAGCTTTCCTTAGAGCTTTAAAAAAAATATGAACACCAAAAAATATGTAATAATAGTAGTGTTGCTCCAGTGCAATATATCTAGTGTTCTATGCATTGTGATTCATGGTTTGTTAAAACAGTGATGTTGTGTGCTTTTTCTGGGAGATTCAGTGTGAACTGTTGCACAATTTGTTCAATTAATGCATAGTTTTGCAAACAGGTCAAGCTCAGGATTTTCATTAAATAATATATTATGTTTTATTTCCAACAAAACCTATCACTATCACAGAGCACTTAGAATATATGACGAAGATGAGCCATACTTATCAAATAAAAACAGGTTATTCCTCCACCACATGACATGTAGATCCAAGAAATCTTTAGCTGCAAAAAACTTGGGAAGTTATGATATTTACTAGCAGAATCTAACAAATCTTTTTTACAAGACCTGGAGTCCTGTTTTAGGCTAGTTCAGACTTGATTTTCATGATTTTCAAAGTTGTTGTGTCACAGATGTTTTCACACTGCATGACTATCTGGGGTAGCTTTCTGTCACTGCTTTGTTTACACTGCAAGATGGATCGGCGACAGGGGCTTTCACATTGCATGACTTTACAATTGGAAGAATTGGCGACAAATTCGTTCAAACTACGTCTCACAGCCAACAACATGTATCTTTTGTTATTAACTCAATAACGAGAAAGTAGCCTTTAATGGGGTAGAAAATGTACATATTTGTTCACCTGGGTTTGAAGGGAATTAGCAATTTCTCCTAAACTTTCTTTTTTAACTTTCTGTATGAAACGTCAAACAAAATCGGGTGCTCCTGTCAAACCTCCACTAGTTTTTCCTCCATTTCTTGGGTCCAGATAAACTGAAAATGAGAGCTTTTAACTTTTCCCTCAACCACCCGCTAACCTGCAGGTAGACACACACACACAAGTGAATGGTGCTCTGTCATCGGCTGTAGGCGATCGCCGATGTTATTTTCAGTCAAAACTCATTTCACACGGCATGATTTGAATCGCCGACAGCTCTAAATATTTAGCAAACTACATAACTGAAGAGAGAAAATACTGACTCCTTACAGTGAACGATTTCATCTTTTTCTTTTCTTTACTCTTTTTCTTTATTTTTACTTTATTTTACTTATTGGTAAACTTGCTCAATTATTCGTTTATTTATTTATTTATTTTTTCCTTTTTAATTTTATAAAAAAAAATTTCCTCTCAGATGATATGTTTGTTTTTAATTCAGAAATGTATTTTATTTATTTTGAGGGGATAATGGGAAAATAAGAAAACTATGACAGTCTGTAATTTGTCTTACTCTGTATTATAAATTACAATGTATGGTCTTGTAAAATACCAATAAAAAATTCATAAACAAAATATATGACATTATTGACACTTTTTTTCATTTTCTGATATATTTTTGTCTACAAAAAAGCGAAAAAAACTATAATTTTTTTTTTTTATTAATTCTATATGTAAAATTTAATTATATATTCATTTATGGCACGCATTAAAGCAACATTAGGATAAACAAATAATGACAGAATCTTTGTTTATTTCGTTTACTTTTTTTTCTCTTCATTTGTGCAGCACAATGGTCAACTACTTTTGTTTTTAATGTGCTTTATAAATAAAATTGATTTGATTTGAATTAAGTTCAAAATGACTCAAGCAAATCGTAAAACTGTAATTACTCAGATCAAACTTTAAATAAATTATACATTAAACATATTTTATCTCCCACCTTTTTAAGTAGCATTTTTGATGATTTTCACCTAAATTTGACAGCCCCCATAATTTTTTTGCTGCGAACATGCCCATATTATATCAAAATAAAGAACCAAGACAAGATTAGAACCAAGACAACATACACATACACTACTGATAAAGGTCTTATCCCCTATCCAAGTTTTAGGAACAACGAAAAATAACTTGAAGGCTATAAGTCAAAGAATGCATTCTTGCAGGACTTCCAGAGTAATTAAATTTTTACCAATTAAATTCCTCTTCCATCTTACCCCAGATTTGCTCAATAATGGTCATTTCTGGTGACTGGGCTGGCCACTCCTGAATCTGTCATGACTGTTTTTGTCCACCAGATGCCACTGTAGTTCGCCAGCAACCCCCAACGAACTACAGTGGCTTTAGAATTACATTTCCATACATTCTTCCATACATTTCCAGGAATCACCCTGACCTTCTTTGCTTTCAGGAACTTTGATGTGGAGGCTGAAGTATGAGAAGGAGTGCATTCCTGCTGAAGAATTTGCCCTCTCCTGTGGTTTGTGATGTAATGGGCAGCACAAATGTTTTGACACCTCAAGCTGCTGATGTTGCCATCCACTCTCGCACACCCATACTGAATTTACCCCCAAGCCATGATTTTTCCTTCACCAAGCTTGACTGATTTCTATGAGAATCTTGGGTCCATGCAGGTTCCAATAGGTCTTTTGCAGTATTTGTGATGATTGGGATGCAGTTCAACAGATCAAATCTACTTTCTGCCACTTATCCAAATGATCAACTAGAAGTCAAGTTATCATTTGTTGCTCTTACAACTTGGATCGACGACAAGCCTTTTGTCAGGCAGTGTATATAACATTATAAAATCTGATGGTGTGGATCGATTCTCTCTGGCAAGCCCTGATAAAGAAGGATGCAAGCCCAGGGGAAGTTGTAGAACTCTTCATTTTAACACACAATCTGATTTACACTCCTTCTTATCGTCTTATACTTCAAATATTTTTTGAAGTATAAGATAATAGTATAAGATTATAGTATAAGATTGAAGTAAAAGATTATAGTATAAATTTATACTATAAATTCCCGTCAATCATTCAGGACAAGCGCTAGTGCTTCTCTTACTGTAATTCACCGAAAACTGTTGTAAAAACTCATCAATGACATGGAAGCATTGTCTCTTAACTGATGAATGACAGGGAAAGAGTTAAGAAAAACTGGAGCATCCATCAGAAATGTAAAAGTATGTAAAAGTGTCTGTCGAAATATCTGCATGTGTGTGTGTGTGTGTGTGTGTAGAGTATGTGTTTAACTTTCATATAGAGCTGTAGTGAGTTTGCAGCAGCACATTAGCAGCAGCCCAAACATCTGTTTAACACACACAAAGAGCAGCTCACCATCGTCCCTGAGACAAAATAAGAAGTAGAGACAACAACTACATCTGCATTCCTGAAGGAAATCACAGCCACCGCTTCAAACTAAGTGTTAAAGGTTTAGTTGAAGAAAACACAGGAATCAGCCGACTGTTTCAAGCTGATGTTGGCAACAGAAAAGAGGGAATTGAGATATTAGAAAAACAGAGGAAAGCAAAGAAAGGACAGTGAGTAATCATAGCTGTGTTTGGGCTTCTCCTGAGGGCACTGTGGGTAAAGTTAGAACACTATTGACTTCACAGGTCGTTTGGTGTCTTGAGTGAGGCAGTGAGACAGAGCAGACAGCATTTATCCACATAAAAGACTCAATCACAGATGGAGAACTGAGCTACTGATGCACATTCACTACACTCAGTCTACTACACTTGTGTTCAAACAGAAAACAATATTTGATAACACTTTAATTTATCACAATACATGCTATTAACCACTGGCTTATTACAAGGGCCAGACAGAATTAGCAAATATGTTTTGCTATTTCTTTGCAGAATTTTGTAAAGAAAATCAGCGGATTTATGCAGAAGGATTTTGGAAGTATCATAACAAAAAAAAATTAAATACAAAAATAAAAAATGATTTGTTTTCAATTTTATTTAAAGAGCCCCTATTATGGGATTTTGAAAATGACCTTCCATGCAGTGTGTAACAGGTCTAAGTTAAGTGAAATATCCAGCTAAGGCTTAAATTAGAAGGTGCACCATTTTTAAAACTATCGATTCATCTATAAAAGAGCCGACTACTTGAATGAATCGTCATGGTAACAAATCTTTAGCCATGCCGGCATGACCCAGGAAAATTGAAACCCCCGGCCCTGCCCACAAACACTCTAGCAAATCCCAGTCGCATATGTGCTGAGCACTGAAGTGTAAAGAAAAACGTGCACACTGGCATGCTTTTTGCTCACGTTTTCCGACAACGTGTAATCGTGCACACCAACGCCAAACAGCGTAAGGAAAAACTTCTTGAATAACGTTGACGATAAACGCAAACAAAAGCGTCCTGGTGTGTACGAGCCTTTAGTGTTATTTTCTATACCCAAACATTTGAAGAGGTTGTGAAGACACAGTGGTTAAAGTTTATTTTTGCAAAATACCTCAGCATTATCGCCCTAGCCTTGTGCTGTGTTCAGGTCATTTTTCTGACGAGTGTTTCAGCAATCTACACGCTTTCAATGGGGGATTTGTCGGCCGTTTTTTAAAGGAAGGACCAGAAAAGACTATTAATGTATGGGACTTTGTCAGAGCTTGACAGAAACTTTAAAGTGCACAGTTCATGGACCAGTCCTCCACCATTTCACAAGTGTAAGTGCGATTAAAATGGTTGCCTCCTTGTTTTCTTGCAAATTATGTATTTAATTGTGTTTTGTTACTTGTAACCGCTTGTACTGTATCTGGTTAACTTTTTATATTCTCATGTCGTGTCTAAAACCACATTGAAAACGCAACAGGTGCCGATTTGTTGTGTGTCACTGTTTTTACTTATGGTTACGAATAGAGCAATATGCTGTTGTTAAACTGCATTGCTTTAATGCACTCCTGCACTGGGCTCACACATACACTCTGCACTCTGAATACCTCAAAATTGTTGATAAGCCGTGCTGGCCATTTCTCTCTGTCTCAAGGTGAACACAGTCTACCAATTGCAATAGACTGGGTCATCGGAACAATCAGCGCAGATTAGCTATGGAGGGGTTTGGGAACAAATAAATTGCTGAACGAATCATCTGGGAGTTGGAATAATTTGGTAAAAATAAATGTAAATTATAAAACAATGAAATGTTTTTTTTTTTTTGCATGCTGTTGTTGGAGATCCCCAAAACCAAAATATGACCATTTTTAATGCATAATAGGGGCTTTTTAATGTTTACAATGCAAATACAATTAGATCTACTTATTTGGTAAACAAAGTAAGTCACTGATATTATGTCTACTAAAAGACAGAAAATTTTATATTACAAACTGTATTTCAAATAAATTATATAAACATTTTCATATCTCAATAATATTACTGAAATTAACTAAAAACTAAATGAATATAAATTGACACACATTTACACAAGTAAAAAAACAAACTCAGTAATAGGCTAAAAATCTGCAGATTTCTGCATGTGCAGATATCATGTGGGCTACTTATAAGATTTCAACAACTACTTGAAAAAGAGAAGTTGAAAAAGAGACTTAGCATTTAATTTTTGCATGAACACACTTACATGTACATCAAAATATTGCAATTTATATTTTCCACCCTCTCTCTGACCCTTTTATGAAACTACCATATCCACCTTTCCTTGCCATCAGTATGCAAATTAGGTCTGTCTTGACTAACCTTAGTTATAAAACAGCAAAGAAAATCCTATTTTCCATTTTGGCCCTTTTGAAGTGGGTCATATCATGCTTTTACCCCTTAAAAGTCTAGTTATAATGTAACAGAGTCAAACTAAAATGACCAGAGCTTTAAAAACTGACCATAATATGCATGCTTTACCTCATGAGTCTACATTAGCTTGCAAATCAATCCTAATGACATTCCGAATTTGTGTCAAAATGAACATATAATTGCTACTTTTCAGAAAAAGCCCATTAGGACCAGAGAAGTTTTAAGACAGTCTAAAAGGTACATTTTTTTTATATATCACACAGTTTAATTTAAAAAGGTTCAAGAAAACTCATCGTAACATGACCCTATTAGTATTAACACTTAATCTTAATTAGTCAGTGTTATTAATGTTGTCATTTCTGCAACACTTACACCAAAGTTTACACTCTAGGCTTTTCATTCATTCATTCATTTATTCATTCATTCATTCATTCATTCATTCACTTTTTTTTTGGCTTGGTGCCTTATTTATCAAGGGTTGCCACAGCGTAATGAACCGCCAACTATTCCGCTATATGTTTTACACAGCAGATGCCCTTCCAATACTGGGAAACACCCATTCACACACACAATGGCCAATTTTGTTTATTTAATTCACCTATAGCACATGTCTTTAGAATGTGGGGCAAACCCGGAGCACCCAGAGGAAACCCACACCAACACGGAGAGAACATGCAAAGGTTTTGACAAATAGATATAGGCATGCATATTTATTTATTACATTTTTTATTTATTTTTTGTTTAATTTATTTTATTCTACATATTATATTTCTGGGAATGAAGTGAATAAAAAGAGACTTCCAAAAATCCTCTCTGGACAGTTATTTTTTAAAAAAAATCAAAATAAACCAGAATTTTAAACCTGACATTAAGCAACGCTCAAATATTTGTACTAAAAATATATGGAAAGTGGCACATAATTAAATAAATAAGGCCTCATTCACGTATTTTAATGTACCATTTAAAAATTGTATTATTATATTTTGCTGTATTTATTGTAATTAATCAAATAGGGAAGTATGGTGATATTATAATTATTATTTTATAATTTTATTTTTATTATATATATATATATATATATTTTTTTACTTTATTAACTCATGATGTCTTGCCTTACAAAGGAAAAAAGTTATTTATTGTTCTTGCAGCTTTTCCACAACAAATCCCAGCCTCCTTTCTGATTTGCTCTCCACATTTGAGCTTTTGAACTGCTCATGATAATAAAGAATTAGTTTTTATGATCAGGAATGCACAGAATCCAGCAGCCGGATGGTGAATGGATCAGTATTGATCTCCATAGAGTCCAGCGGTGAGAGTGACAGAGAAAGAGTGATAATAGGCTGAATTTATGAGCTGCATGTGGTTGTTCACAGTGATTTATACTGGTGGTGTGGGATGACCTTCAACAGTCTGTGCGCTGAAATCAAATAAATGACGTGACGGCAGAAAGCGAGAGGCATCTTACACGTCAGAGAGTTGTAGATGAGGATTCCAACATCCTAATGTATCATCACATCTTCACAAGGGAAACATCCTTTCAAATCCTCCTTTTTTAGTCCTCCAAATTCATTTTATTTCCCTCAATGTTGAATGAGGGGTTTTCTCCATATTTATGTTTAACTTTATATTTAAAAAAAACATTCCAAGACCAATTTATTAAAAGTAAAAATTGTGAATTATGAGTCCCAATTAGGCGAGGTAGTGGCGCAGAAGGTAGTGCTGTCGCCTCACAGCAAGAAGGTCGCTGGGTCGCTGGCCCGAACCTCGGCTCAGTTGGCATTTCTGTGTGGAGTTTGCATGTTCTCCCTGCCTTCGAGTTGGTTGGTGCTCCGGGTGCTCCGGTTACCCCCACAGTCCAAAGACATGTGGTACAGGTGAATTGGGTTGGCTAAATTGTCCATAGTGTATGAGTGTGTGTGTGTGGATGTTTCCCAGAGATGGGTTGCGGCTGGAAGGGCATCTGCTGTGTATAAAGGGACTAAGCCAACAAGAAAATGAATGAATGAATGATGAGTCCCAATTATGAATCCCAAAAAGCTTTCACCGAAAAAGTTATTTAATTTCATATTTTCATGGGTTTTATTTTAATGGTTTAATTTATTGTTAACAATCAAACAAAATGTCTAATAAAACTGAAATTTAACAAAAAAATTTTAAATAAAATATTAAATGTTTGAGTTCAGAATTAAATTATAAGGACAAAAAAGGGGAAAAAAAGCTCAGTATGTTTTCGATACAGCAATATATATATATATATATATATATATATATATATATATATATATATATATATATATATATATATTCATTTTTTATTTATTAAACTAACAACACAAAAGTATGATTTTTTTTATTTTTTTTTTACTTTAAACTGTGATGGGGCTAAACTTCATCAATCTTCCTGGATTTCTTCTTGGCAGCAAATAAAACAAATCCTTCTTCATACCCAAAACCAAAAAGCTACTTATAAAAAAAGTGAAACGTAATATTGTAGTAGTTAAACAAATCCGCTTGATGGGACTGTCACCTGCCGTTTCAGTGGACCTAAATGTAGGAATTCTTACTTGACTGAAATGGGCTCCTGAAGGAATAATGTAACGGGGCTCAACTACATTTAACCTTTTCTTAAAGTGGTGTTCCACTACAATATCATATTTTAAACTTTAGTTGATGTGTAATGTAGCTGTGTGAACATAAACAACATCTCAATGTAATATGCTCAAAGTTCAATGCAAAGGCAGACATTGGCTTTTACAGAGTTAGCTTAGCAAAGGGTACAGCGAACGATTTTGGGGACTACAAAAAAATACATCCGGGCTTGTGAGATCAAAAACTCTTTAAGTTACCACAGGCATACACTGTGGGGGATGGCCAAAGGTGCTGTAACATTGTAGCAGAGAAAGCTAAAATACAGTACAAACGCTGCTATTTACACAGAGTTCCTTCTGTTTCTGTATTTGGGCTTCCAAAGGACACGACACAAAGAGAGTAGTGCTTACAATTTAATGTTAATTATAAAATGTATAGCTAGCATTTGACAAAGGACAGCTTCCAGAATCTCTCCCAGTTCTGTGCTGGATTCGGCTAAAAACTTCTTCAACAGACGAAGCTGTGGATTGTGAGCCACAACCTCTAAGTGTTTTTATTTGTTAAAACTGATCTATATACATGCTCAGTTTCTAGCATTAACTGTATGCTGTAGAGAAGACGTAAACAAGGATGTAAACAAGGGGAAATGCTGTTTGGCACCGCTAACAATTTAGCTTCAAATTCATCTTTATCAGTTAAAGCGCTGTACACAGCCACAATCTTCAGCAGCGCTGCAATGTCTCTCTATGCAGCCACTCTCTTTGTCTCTCTATGTGTATGCTTTCTGTGTGTTCTACATCTCAAATAACAAACACGCAAAAGATATGAGAATGTTTCATATTACTACTTACTCATGCTTATATTTTATTATAAATATGAAAGACACTTGTCAGATTTTATTAGAGAGCAGGCGAGAGGTTCAGCTGTGTGCTTTCATTTTCTGTCTGATTCAGCTACTGTTAACACAGAGCAAAAAGGTGTAGGGGCGTGATGTGGTGCCGATCTGCAAATCACAGAACATTATGTTAGCTGACCCATCAGAGTCACTTAAGGGGCACTTCCTTCAGAAGAACTAGGAAATATGACAGTCGTTTTCATGTTAGCAGAGTAGCTGTATATAATCAAAGTAAGATATATGAAAAAATAACGTGATTTCCTACAAGTGAAGCACGAGCACACATTGCTTTGCAACTTATAAACACAACCAAGCCTTAAAAATACATTCTGGACCACCCCTTTAAAACTTAAAGATTAAGGTATCATATCTGTGGCTATAAATGAACCAATCGCCTCTGTGATTTGTTTTGCTCTGTTCGAATCTGTAAGATGTGCCTGTCTGAATGCCGCGGGGAAAGTTGTTTGTAGTGTGCGTGTTTCTTTCTTTCGCCTAGCTCCAGTTATTGACACACTGGCGTGATGTCAGCGTAAATGAGTTGACATGTTCAAGTATTGCTGCTTATGTAGCTTATTGTCGTGTAGCAGATGTGACATGTCGTTGTTTTTTTTATCCACCACTCTCTTGCCATCACCCTCATAACTAACAGGGAAACAAACCAAAGTACTCCCAAACGCCAGACCACCTGTTGGATATAGGAGGATGGCATTAATAATACTAGCCATTTTGCAACAAGCTAGAGCAGCATACAGTTGAAGTCAGAATTATTAGCCCCCTTTTGGATTTTTCTTTCTTTTTCAAATATTTCCTAAATGATGTTTAGCAGAGCAAGGACATTTTCACAGTATGTCTGATAACATTTTTTTTCTTTTTAAGAAAGTCTTACTTGTTTTATTTCAGCTAGAATAAAAGCAGTTTTGAATCATCAGCCATTTTAGATCAACGTTATTGGCTCCTTTAAGCTATATATTTTGATAGTCTACAGAACAAACCATCATTATACAATAACTTGCCTAATTACCCTAATCTGCCTAGTAAACCTAATTACCCTAAGCCCTTAAATGTCACTTTAAGCTGTATAGAAGTGTCTTGAAAAAGATCTAGTAAAACATTATGTACTGTGTTCATGGCAAAGATAAAATAAATCAGTTATTAGAAATTACTTATTAAAACCATTATGTTTAGAAATATGTAAAAAAAAATCATCTCCCCAATAAACAGAAAATGGGGAAAAAACAAAACAAACAGGGGGACTAATAATTCTGACTGTATGCCTCACTGGAGTAGTGTTTGAAGGTGGGCAGGGCAGTCAGCACGCTGCCCATCACATTGTTTGAAATGCCTTGTTGAGCATAGTTGCACTAAAAACATTATATTTTATACAATTTATTCTCTTTTCAGATATTGTAATGATTACTGAACCGAAAGCCTTATTTGCAAAAAAAAGCTGAATATGCTTATCATTACAACCTATATATATATATATATATATATATATATATATATATATATATATATATATATATATATATATATAATGTCTGTGTGTGTGTGTGTGTGTGTGTGTGTGTACGTGTTTTTGTAACATATCAGGACACAAATCTGTATAATGACGTAGGTATGACACAGGTATTACAAAAAGGAGGTGAAATATGAGGACATTGGTGACGTCCTCACTTCTCAAAATGCTTATAAATCACAAAGAATGAGTTTAATCAGAGAGTAATGCTGCACACAGTCTCCTGTGATGGTTGGGTTTAGGGGTGGGGTGGGGTGAGGTGAGGGCAATAAAATATACGGTTTAGACAGTATAAAATTAATTGAAACCTATGTAATGTCCCCACTTTTCACAAAAACAAACATGTGTGTGTGTGTGTGTGTGTATGCGTGTGTGTGTGTGTGTGTGTGTGTGTGTGTGTGTGTGTGTGTGTGTGTGTGTGTGTGTGTGTGTGTGTAAGAGAGAGTGTAAAACAATTGCAACCTATATAATGCCCCCACAATTCACAAAAATGTGTGTGTGTGAGAGAGAGAGATGGAGAGAGAACTGTGTGTGTGAGAGTGTATGAATGTGTGAGAGTGGGGAGCGATTGTACATTTAGGTGTGTGCAGGGCAGTGTGTGTGTGTGTGTGTGTGTGTGTGAGAGAGAGAGAGAATGTATGTGAGTGAACATGCTGAATTATCTCATCAGTGAAGGCATTTTCTGGTAAAAGGGCCTGACGATGTGAGCTCTTGTACCATCGAAACTATTTACAGAGAAAAACAGTATGATAAGCCATGTTTCTTTTCGTTCTGCTTAATCAAGTACCCCAAAAAGATATTTAAAATAAACAAAACAATTAGTGTATTTTGACTGCTTTCTTTAATAACTACATTACACAATACTTGTACTTTTACTTTCAGTACTTGAGTAGTAAATTTTGAAATAAACTACTTGTAATACTTAAGTACAAAAAATGTTGAATACTTTTGTACTTCCACTTAAGTATGGTGCTTTAAGAGCACTTCTACTTCTACTCAAGTCAATTTTTGATAAAGCACTTGTACTTTTACTTAAGTATGGGTCTCTAGTACTTTATACATCTCTGGCCATATCCCACTGCTAAGAGTGTGATATTGCTCATATTTATATATTTATATATATTTACACACACGCATACATACATACACAATACCCAATAATGACAATGTGAAAAAAACTTTTTTCAAATTATTGAAAATTTTTTACAAATAAAAAAATAAAATTGGAGGAGAATTGTAGTATTTTGAGGAAATAAACGAATTGAACCCATTTTGGAATAAGGCTGTAACAAAAAATTTGGAAAAAGTAAAGCGCTATCAATACTTTCCGGATGCATTGTATAAATAATTTAGTGTCCCCCATTGAGATCTCATACACAAATGTAATCTACTCTTTAAAACCGGTTGCCGCATCCAGTATAAACACAAGTGTCATCTTGATGAACAACAAATGAAGTGTCAGTTAAGTGTTGACTCAAGACTGCATGAATGCGCTTATGTAAATTTAAGGTAACACAATTGTAAATTAAGTTCCATTTCTAGCACAGAGTGATTGTTTTGCTATAAAAGGCCGTGATGTATTTGTAGCACTTCGAATGGCCTGAGGGTGAGCAAAACAACAGCAAATTTACATTCTAAAGTTGAACTGTCCCTTTAAGTCTTTACCATTAAATGAACGGGAACAGATGTTTGAAAGAATTCTGGCTGAGGTACTGCTTGTTTGAAGGGATCTCCTTTTCTTGTCTACAACAGTTTCTGACTGTGTTTTGTAGTGGTGGAGATTGCAGTCATTTATCAGTTCAGCTAGTAAGTCTATCGCTGTAGGGAGCAGCTCCAGCCAGTTAAACTAAATCAAGCACAGAAACACAGCTCAACTCTAGCAGCATGACACCACTGCTCTCTCTCTCTTTCAACATACTGTACAGTCTGCTTCATTCATTCAAATTTCATTTTCTCCATTTGAAATCACTGTTTAAGTTCCATATAACTCTACGCTGACATGATCCTCATTCTAAATGTTAAAATAGCAGATTAATTACACTGGAGAAATTTACTGTATTGCATGTAATGTGTAACATAACTTATTTCTCATATTAAATTATCCAGGTAAATATGAGTAAGTGCCTTATATCCAAGAACTTATTTTAGCACACATCTTTAAAGATATAAAAGAAAATCTAAATGGACCCTATGCCAGACAAATTCCCAGCCCTATTATGAATGATTCATCAGTGGAAGATATTTCAAAGGCAACAAATGCTTGTTTCTGTAATTTTATCTTTTCCATTCTAGTATACAATTTATATATAATTGCCAACAGATTCAATCAAGTCCCACAAATACATATACACTCATCGGCACTTTATTAGGTACACCGGCTTAACTGCTCGCTAACACCGATTTTTAATCAGTTAATCATCAGTAACTCAATGCATTTAGGCATGAGCCTTGGTCAAGATGATCTGCTGCAGTTCAAACCTAGCGTCAAAATGAAGAAGAAAGGTGATTTAAGTGACTCTGAACATGATTCATGCACATGCATTTTCATGCACAACCATCTCTGGGTTTACAGAGACTGGTCTAAAAAATATCCATTGAGCGGCAGTTCTGTAAACTTTGTATAATATTAATATAAACACAATTTATAAACATTATAAACACTTTATTTATTTATTTATTACACTGTAGACCAGTGGTTTTCAAAGTGTGAGGCGCGCCTCCCCTGGGGGGCGCCAGAGCATGTCAGGGGAGGCGCGGGAAAAAATATTATATAATAAAAAAATAATTATTAAGTTTAATTATTATATGTATTTTTTTATTATATTTAAACGTTTTAATTAAACAAAGCTAAAAAAAATAATACGTCTGAAATAAGAAAACCTTTTTTACCCAGAAGGCCATAGCTGTGAATTCGCTTCTGTTTGGCAAGCCCGCCAATACAGGTATATGCCTGCTAATTTACAGTCTATGCTGCTAATACAATGGATCGGTTTCTGAGACCCCCCCGTTTCAAAGCCTTCAAGTTCAGGGCTTAAACCCAAAAGACGACGATATGATGATCAGTATTTCAGTTTAGGATTTACGTGGACAGGACCAGCTGATGAACCACAACCTTTATGTGTGGTTTGTCAAGATATTTTGGCTAATGACAGCATGAGACCCGCTAAACTTCGACTGTTTTGGTTGGGATGGCCAGTTCTGGATCTGTTCTATTCATATTGAACCATCCTAGTTTTAAAAACGTTATATTAAAATACTTGTTATTACTCTGTAAATAATTGCACTTTCATGCAAATGATGATAAAAGTGAGTTAACAGTCTGACATCTGTCTGTTTCTTTTTATATATATATATATATATATATATATATAAATACATATGTGTGTGTGTGTGTGTGTGTGTGTGTGTGTGTGTGTGTGTGTGTGTGTGTGTGTGTGTGTGTGTGTGTGTGTGTGCGTGCGTGCGTGCGTGTTTGGGAGGAGGGGGGCGCCAATGGATAAGTTGTGTCAAAAGGGAGGCCCACTGTCTTAGACTTTGAAAAACCCTGCTGTAGACAAATGCTTGGTTCCACACAATTTCTTTATATTGTCACTACACAAATCGATTAGGTTAACTCAATAATTTTTATAAATTTATTTATTAAGGTGTCCCAAAAAACTTCCGACAAGTTTAAAAAAGTAGTAGTTTTTAATGAGTAGTTTATAAAAGCAGCAAAAGCAATTTTTTGTATGTAAGAAACTCTTTCTTTTGAACTTTTCTCTAGTGAAAAATATTGCTGATGCACAAAAAAAACATTAAGAAGCACAAGAAATATGGCTTAAGCAGCAAATGATCAATAAAATACAAACATTATAGTTTTTACAGTATTTTGAATTAATGAATGCACCCACAGTGATAAAGAGACTTCTTTTAAAATATTTGAGATAAGTTTAGAGGGATACATATGTAATTTTTCAACACTCACAGAGAAGCTGTAGCTGCGGATGGTCTCGTAGTCCAGCGGGATGGCCACACGCAGGCGGAGGTCAGCTCTGCCCTGCACTGAGGTGGGAGAAATGCTGAAGTGATCCGAGTTATTCCCCGTCAGGAACACCTGAAACATGCTGTTCACCCCCTGTAAAGACAGATTTGATCATTTTAGTTTATTTTGCATTGCAGAACTAAGAAGTAAATATTGTCACTCTTCAACAAAGGCGCTGTTTGCACTTGATGTTTGGATGCATTTTTGTCAGTTGAATCACAAGTAGATGAGGGAGACACTCCTCCATTTAAACCTGCCGTTTTTTATCTGATTACAAGATGATGGAAACCCGTTTATCAAATACATTTCCAGGTCTCCAACAAAACAAATCCTACAAGTTCAAAAAACACTCTACTTTGTTTGAAAATAGAGTTAAACTGTTGAGTTTTAGCATTTTTGACACCAATCAGCCGACCTCCGGGTCTGACTGGAGCACTTTTAGCTTAGCTTAGTCTAAATCATTGAAGTGAATTACACTATTAGCATTACAAGTGTTTCGATAATTGTCCAAAAAAGCTGAACTTTCATGTAGTTACATCATGTACTAAGGCTGATGGAAAAGAAAAGTTGCTATTTTCTACAAATTACAAAGCACCTGAAAATCTTGCAACTATGAAGATATTTATGACATATGATTCAGAAATATTTTCAGGTGCTGCGTAATGTCATTGCTCCTGCTGCAGGCATGGTACACCAACAAAATTGCTTGATTATTATGCCAGAATGAGAGTATAGTTCCTAAATCTTAGCCTAGTAGATGATGTAACAACTGAAGAGTCAAGCTTTAAATAAAAAAAAAAAGTTTCTAAACTCTTTGTTCATTTTTGAGCGAAATGCTAATGGTCTAATCCGATTCAATGATCTATGCTAAGCTAAGCTAAAAGTGCTCCCACCAGACCCAAAGATCAGCTGAATAGATTAAAAAATGGTAAAGCTCAACTGCTTACTTTAGAGGAGTTATAATATTAGCATATTTTCATAAAACAAGATGTAGTGTTTCCTTAAATTTCCACTTGTGCGCAGAAATATACTTAGCTATTGTTAAAACTTGAATGAATCACAAGTCAGATCTCCATTAAGTCTCATAAAAAGTCAAATTTAGCATCTGCCAGACATCATACCTGCAAAAAGTTCCTCTCTTCTGACAAATGCGAATGTGCACTTTGACAGGGACTTTCAGATGGTCTCGAAATAAAACGTCAAACTTCACATGCTAAAGCAATAAAATGTTCCGCAATAATCATCATTGCTGTTTCAGGTACTGAGAGATCCCAGCAAATGAAGAGATGACAGAAAGTCCCTCATTAGTGTCGTTCTCTCTTCTGACGAGTGGAAGACGAGACATATGGCAGAAAGTACATTCAATGATGACTCATCGCTATCTGAGAAAGCGAAAATTTTCATACTGTACAAAACACAGCGTCACGTGGTCTGATTAAACACTAATGCTAATGTGTGAGCGAGACAGCTGGCGGTTACAGTGATGGAGAGTTTCACCGACTCAACTGCCAAAACAACTTACAGTTGAAGTCAAAATGATTAGCCCTCCTGTATTTATTTTTCCTCAATTTCTGTTTAAAGGAAAGAAGATATTTTTAATCACATTTCTAAACATGTTAGTATTAACTTATTTCTAATAACTGATTTCTTTTATCTTTGCCATGATGACTACATCATATTTTACTAGAGATTTTTCAAGATACTAGTATTTAGCTTAAAGAGACATATAGGGCTCTATTTTGACGGTCCATGCGCAGAGTGCAAACGCAGGGCGCAAACGCTTTCAGGGCATGTCAGGACGCGTTTTTGCTAATTTAAGGACGGGAAAATCCGCTTTGCGCCGCGGCGCATGGTCTGAAAGGGTTAAGTTTATTTTCTTAATGAGTTATAGGTGTGTTTTGAGAATAAACCAATTACAGTCTCATCTCCCATTTCCTTTAAGACCCAGCTGCGTCGCGCCAAGAGCGCATTCGCTATTTACAGGACGCAAAGTAAGTCTAAGTGGAAAAAATGAGCATTTCACAAGCAAACAGTTAACAGTTAACAGTGTTTTAACAGAAAACTGTTAAACAGAGCATCTACTGCGTGAGAATGAGAGATAAATGATCTACTTTCATTTTCGCTCTTGGATAGGGAAACCTTTATGCACAGACATCAATTAGCCTATAAATAATTAATTTCGTTTGTTAAGCGCAAAGATTTGTTTCAAAAGTATTTCTAAATTCAGTTCTCATTTCCAGCAAACAAATAAATGAATAATAATAGCAAAATGTGCTGAAAAACCTGAGTTATATCCTAAAACACATGCTGTGCCCCATATGGTCTAAAACCTGCAGGTGGGCAAATCTAAGCTTGTTTTTAATAAAACAAATATAAATATGGATATATTAAATAATACTGCTAATAATAATAACATTATACAAAAGCGAATTGTTATGAATGAACTGAAAAAGCCTCCCGAGATGAAGAAGACATAAAACCAGTGATTTTTCATATTTATATAGGCTAGAAATTAATATATTTTGTAATATTTTAATCCTTTATATTTATATCCTATATCTATTCTTATTATATCCTATATATATCCTTAATATTTAAATTTTTTCATGTGTAAAGATATTTGCCTATTGCTCTCTTGCTAGTATTAAGCAGTGCGTAAGCGAGGCACAACTCTGCGCCGGAGTTTAGACCGGTTTAGTTTTGGTCTAATGGAAAAACCTATTATAGTTTCTCAAAATAGCAACGCGCCAGCGGTCCGCCTCAGAACGCCTTCCTTTTTAGACCAGAACGCCTATGGGCGCACAAATGAGCGTTGATGCATTTGCTATTTAAACAGCGTAGCGCAACGCCTCAAAACGACTCTTGCGCCAAGCTGAAACTACCTAAAGACTATTGCGCTGCGTCTTGCGCCCCACTGCGCCGGGTGTATGATAGGGCCCTTAAAGTCTTAAAGAGCCCCTATTTTGCATTATAAAAGGTCACATTTTGGTTTTTAGGGTCTCCAACAACAGTTTGATATGCATGCACGGTCAAAAAACACTTTCATTGTCTTATAATATGCATAATTTTACCTAATTATCCCAACAACTCCCATATGATTATTTAGGGATTCATTTGTTCACAAACCCCTCCTTAGCGAGAAGCTAATCTGTGCTGATTGGTCCGATGACCCAGTCTGTTGTGATTAGATGCAATAAAGTAATGCAGTTAAGCACCAGCATATTGCTCCACTCTTAAACCTAACCCCAAGTATTAACAACGACAAACACATTCAGTATTAATCCACACAGTGGCAAAAGCTGCGCGTGTGAGGAACAGCTGATGGTGGCCATAGCAAAGACAAATGGCAGAGGATCGCGAGATCAGAAATGCATTTAAATCGGTAAAGGACGAAGCACGTGTCCTGTTTTAACATGGTTTTGGACACAATAAGTGAATTGCCCCATGAAGGTTTAACCTGAGAGATACAGTACAAGCACTGATTTATAATGGATAAGTGATTACAAACCGCGCGGAGCGATTACAAGTTACAACACACAATTAAACACATATTTTGCAACCTACAGAAAACGAAGCAATGATTTTAATCACATTTACATGTTATAATCAGGAGGAAGAAAAAACTGGTGCATTTGAACTGTAAAAGTTAATGACAATGTCCCTGTTAAGGTCCCATACTTAAAGTCTCTGCTGCTTCATCCTCTAATGGCAAATGTCCGACGGATTCCGAGTTGCAGCGCAGGTTATTGTATCAATCATCAGAAAAATGACAGAAACAAACACAGCGCTAGGTTGGCTATACTGTGGTATTGTTGTGAAAATGAACTTTAACCCTTTATGTAATGTAATGTAATGTGTATTTATGAAGCGCATTTATTGTGTATGGCCATACACCCAAAGCGCTTCACAATCATGAGGGAGGTCTCACCACAACACCACCAGTGTGCAGCATCCACTTGGATGATGCGACGGCAGCCACAGGACAACGGCGCCAGTGCGCTCACCACACACCAGCTACTGGTGGAGTGGAGAGACAGCGATAGAGCCAATTCGGTGGAAGGGGATGATTAGGAGGCCATGAACGTATGGGCCGATAGAGGGACTTTGGCCAGGACACCGGGGTTACACCCCTGCTCTTTCACAAGAAGTGCCATGGGATTTTAAATGACCACAGAGAGTCAGGACCTCGGTTTAACGTCTCATCCGAAAGACGGCGCCCACTGACAGTGTAGTGTCCCCTTCACTTTTACTGGGGCATTAGGACTCACACAGACCACAGGTTGAGTGCCCCCTGCTGGCCTCACTAACACCACTTCCAACAGCAACCTAGTGTTCCCTAGTGGTCTCCCATCCAGCTACTGACCAGGCTCAGCCCTGCTTGGCTTCAGTGATTAATATGGCTGTGGAGATTTAGTCATTATTTCTTGCAGCCGAATCTCCATCTGTCAGTGATAATCATCTTCGCATCATGATCAGTCCCGTGATTCCTCGCACTCCGCTAGTGTCTGAAGGGAAAGGTGAGTTCACATTTTACCGGATCTGGAACTACATTTTTGGTGATGTACTGTATCGAGGTCGACACGTTCAAGCAAAAAATCCAGAGTCATTTATTCGACACTGAGTCAGCTATTTCATTAAAGAATCAATTGTTTCCAACGGTGCACTTTCAGATTTAAACCTTAGCTGGATGGTTTCAATCACTTAGAGCCGTGTTACACACTGCATGGATAACTTTCAAAAACCCATAATAGGGGCTCTTTAACTAGATTAATTAAGCAAGTTAGGGTAATTCACCCTTCGCTAAGCCACACCCAAAAACCACCACCTACCAATCGTGGCTTAGCAACCGTAGCTACGTGCAGGAGCTCTGTCAAGCTTTCGAGCGAGGGAAACAAGCTAAAGTGTTATGCATATGGATTGTGCAAATCTGATACCTGGTCTTCTAAAAGTTTGGACAGGGTGGTGGAATTTTTTCCTTTTTCAAAACCTAAAACCCAAGAGGAGAAACGCCAGCATGGATCAAGCTCTGTTAGGGGCGCTAAAGGAGCGGAGTTTAGTTGGTTTTGTTTCGATACTCCTGACACATTCATTGA